ATAGTAAATAGTTGTGGATTGAATTTGACAAGCACAAAATTTGACGTTTTGAAACAGGACTTTTTCATATTTGCTTTCGAAATAACATATATGATAATTGTTTAGAGCTACAGTACATTAAACAAATGTATGCTTTTCTGCATGCTTTACCAGTGAAATGTGAATGAATTATGTCTGAATCCGCTTAATTAAAGTACTTACTATAACAAATAATATAAAATGACAGTAATGACTATGGTCAAGGCCAAGAATTCAGTTATTAATATTCTAATAATGAATATACGTAAGATATCAATATTTACTTTCTTTTAACCAATCATATTCATTACTTCGATCTTCCTGCAGCAAATTATTACGATCAAGGTGTGTAATATGTCAACGGAGAAGTTTCCGTTTTGACCTAAAAAATTGAGAAGTTGCTATAAAAAGCCTTGAGGATAACTCCAAACTTCAGATTCCACCGTTCTATTGAGCTGCAGACAAGTTTTTAAAGTTAGAAGAAATTGATATTCATTACTCTTCAAGGAAAAGAAATTTCCTGACAAAAGAAAATGAATAAGTCAGCAAGTTTGATTACTTGTGGTCTGTTGGTGTTTCTTGCTTTGCATTTCGTCGTTGGTTCCCGCAAGGTTTGTGGCATATTTATATATTCAAAAACGCAGTAACGCTATTTTTTATGTTTTTAAATATTTATACGTGGTTTCTGCATTTTTTCGTTCGTGAACTACAGGAAAAGGATGCCAAATTTAAAGTCCGCATAAACGAAAATGGAACGCGTTTTAGTGAAAAGGTAAAAATCAATGAAAAAGAAAACACTGTGCGTTTTGTGGTACCAAAACACAATGATTTTGATCGCTCTGAAGTGCTGAACGAATTCAATCTGGTAAGCAAACAAATTAATGTGCATGCTCTGCATGTGTGCTGTGTTTAATATTTTCTCTTTGCAATAGTGAAAGATATAAAATCTGTAATTTGTAAAGTTTACTGTGCTATAATTTTTTACAGAACTTAACAATCACTCGCTTACCTGATGTGGGGGTATGTTACATCAAACCTCTGGACAAAAGCCTACCAAGCCCCAGAAAAATGAAATCTGACATGAAATACGTAAGTAAAATTAATTTTCTTGGTGTTGAAAAACACTTGTGCATGACTGTATAATTGTGGTGAATGGCAAATGCCTAAATACGGCCATTTTTTTCCACAATATTAATTAAGTAACTGCGCTGCATGGTTCATTTTGCTACAGTATCAAGAATCCGTCGCTATTCAAAGACAAACCTGAACAAGGAATTAAGGCTTCTAAACAACTAATCATATAGGCTATTGAATTAAGTCATTAACATTCAACCTAATGTATCATATTTTTTCACATAAATACTGCTATACCGATGTATAACCTACAATCATGGCCAAAGGAGTTAATATAAAATCGATAGACATTTTAGGAAAATACAATCAAATTACTTCATACAGCCCCCCCCCCCTCCCCCACCCAATGTTGCCATGATTTACCTCTTACTTTAAACGTAGTTCAACAACATTGTGTTGGGGGAAGGGGGGATGTTTTAGACAAAATACAGGAATTAAACTACAATTTAAACTCTCACAGAGATAAATTAAAATTTATTAACAAGTTATGTCCGCGATTGTAGTTTATCCTGCATGATGGTGACTGAAATATATTCCTTAATGAATACAAGAATGTTCTCGATTTTTATTTTATCTTTTTTAAAATACTCAAAAAATGTGCTAATGAGAATTTGCAATATTTTAATAACTATATTCAAGCGTGACTGTATTGGCATACTTTAAACAGCAAAAGGATGATTCTATATAATTATTTAATTTAGGTGAAACGTATGCGAACTCAAATTTCAAAACCGGAAACAGTGGTGACCACCTCTGAATGGACCCCTGATAAAAAACTGGAACCTAAACAGTTACATCCTACAGTAGTCAAATTTTGTGCTGGTCTTCCTGTTTACCGTTTGAAAGAGATTACTAAAGACAACTGGGAAATTGAAGAGAACAAAAAATCTGACAACGGTATATTATACATGCACATGCATCATAATAATATCAAAAGAGGGGTTAAATCTTTTCTTTCATGCGGTCAAACCAGGGCATGCATTTTTTAACTATATGGGGAATTTGCCCCAATAGACCCTTTGCTTGCCCCAGTAGTGAAGTATGGGAATACTAATTAGCGTATGAAATTAATATGCAATATTTCACACCTAATAAGACACGACCTGCAAGTTTATGAAACGGCTTCAAACACGACTACAAACTCAATAGATATACTGCCTTATTAGTATTCTTTATATAAAGAATGCTAATTAGGAGTGTTTTATCAAGTTTAAAACCACTACACGTGACATATTATGATTACATGATTTTCCAATCAAGCTCATGAATTATTAGTGAATGTTTGAATTGCTTTTAAACTTTGCCATTTATAAAGAACACCTTTATATGAATGATAATGGCTTAAGGCAAAAATTATAAAGATTGCAGAAACATTGCCATTGGGCATTTCTCTTAGTTTTCATCATTTCGAAAATCATAGACAAAATCCAGAACCTTTTTTAATATACAAGCTCCTTTCTTGCCCCCCCCCCCCTCTTACGGATCACATTTTGCCCTTCCCCCAGGAAGACGGACATTTCGGTCGCTAATTAATATTTCTTTTCCCCAAATTGTTGAAAAAAATGTTCGGACATACCATTTTTCACTATGTAACTTACCGAATTTTGTACAATTTTTCAGTAGTATTTTTGTACTATGATTTTCAGTAATTTTTTGCTGAATTACATTTTTTAATAATAGTTTTGTTTGTTCGAACACCACATAAATTTATTACTGCAAAGCTTTCGATCCGTAAGCCCGGATCTTCATCAGTGCTAATAATTCTGCATGTAATTTATGTACATATTTTTGGCCCGACGAACGTGTCGTTAAAATTGCCCGACAAAATTGCAATATTACAACATTGGAGTGTCGCCCCCACCTTCCCCAGGTGCTACACCCCTGGCTAAAGTAAATAAAGATGATTAGTTTATCACATATAAAACCACCAACGCGGGGCAGTAATTTCTTTTCTATTTCCCTTATAAATTATTGAGTTTTTTAAAATATTTATATAAATACAAAAAAGTTGTAGATAGGAATTTTTCCTTACAATTTATATTATGAATTATATCTATCAAAACCATTGTATACTTATTTTGCCGTTTTAAACTGTAGATACGACAACTAGAACTAAACGTCGATCGTATTATGACGTGTGCGGCAATCAACAGAATAGAGTTCTACCATGTCCTGATAATACTTGGCGGTTGATATGCTATTATGCCAATGTGGGACGAAGTTGCGTGTACTGGGTTAAGTGTCGTCATCCGGGCTATGGGTATTCTACAAGTGTAAGTGTAAATTCAAGATGTACTTTCCATCATAACCGAAGTTCAACAAGATGCTGCAAATTCGCGTGCCCGTGGTGGTATGGGTAAAAGATGTCGTAGACAGTAGAAAAACGCGATTACTCAGATTTAGTAATTGACATCGTAGTTTTAGAATAGTATACTTGCGATGTAGCTCAAAACCGAAATAAAGATTAAGCAAACGAATTGGAATGCATTGTGTTTAATTTTTTTTATTTAATTTGAAATTTTGCCCAATATATACCTACATAGTCTCATGGTAGAGAATCCATCGCTGTAACTTTTGAGTTGAGACTACAGATCAGTGGTTGAGACCCCTACTTCCCTAGTTGTTAGAATATTAGTATAAGTTCTAAATACTATTTACAGTCAAAATGTTTTGAAAAATATGTGACAATATATTCGTCATATTTTATAAATAGGTAGTTTTTGTGGCTAGCCCGTTCGCGGGCTAGCCACAATGTAACGCTAAAATTGTAAGACTATGTGAAGTCAATCTCGTTCCCAGAGTATGCCTGTTCGCGGGTTAGGTAGTGGCACTACATGTCGTTGCTATTCATGTCTGCTCTAGTCTGGACTCTGCTTCTGGTCAAAGAGATTTTGATCACGCTTCATATAAAGCTTTATAGTGAGTTTATAATACTGTTTATAATCAAATGTGCTTGCACAGATCTTGAATTTTAATTATATATCATGCGGGTAAATTAAGAAGCAAGTCCATTGCTGTTATATTATACTACAACAGACAAATTGCATGTTAGACAAATTTTTGATCTAGCCAATCTAGGGGGAAAAAAGAAAATTCCCGTTAAGAACTTATTAAAATTAGGAAACTTGCAAAATTTGGTTGCGAAATGTTGTAAAGCTTGGAAAATATAGCTTTGCAAAGTTTGCATATTTTCAGCCTATATTTGTATTACGTGCGGAAATTGTTACCATTTTTGAGCCGAAAAGCCAATCGTCTACATCAGTTTGTTAAAGCCAATCGTCTACAGTTTGTATCTCTATGTAACTGATTAATATTTGAAACTTTATCGGAAACAGTGGCGTAGCCAAGGAGGGGGGAGGGGGGCAACCGCCCCCCAATCGCCACAAAAACCATTCTCTCAAAAAGGCTAAATCCATAGAGAAATTGAGGGGGGGGGGGGTACACATCACATGCTCGAAGTTGAAACTGTTTAAGTATGTCTCGAGTTAGGAAAAAGACGATATACTGGAGGAACTTGATTTGTAAAATTTCTTTAAAGCATTTATAGTCTTGTAGAATAAGATTTAGTTTAGATTTTTAACTGTTAATTAAATACATGTATGCATTATCATAGCATGAATATTTCTTCTCAGACTTATTCTGTATCGAATAATTATAAAAAGCAACGCAATTTTGAGAATGGTGTCTCATAGAACTTAGAAGTTAGAATACTTAAATGCACATTTTCAAAATCACATGCTCCCCCCCCCCAGCATCACAGAGAGGAAATAGGGTGACACTGACCCCTTTTCCTGTTTTCAAGGTGACTTTCCAATTTATTTCATTCCGAGTAGAAATGTCTGGAAAATTCATGTCTTTGATGTAATTTATAATCTTCGGAATTCTGCTAGATTTCACCCCCATAATGCTTCAAATCGCGTTTTAGAGACTCTAGATTTCTACATTTCTCACGTCTTCGGTGGGAGCTTCGCCCACCCAAAAGTGAAAGTTTGGCTATGCTATACTGGCCGGAAACGGAGCAGTCACTGTCAAAAGGGCTTGTTTACATTATAATATTTTTCAAAGATATTGCAACTTGCCCCTATTAAAAACTACAAATACAAATCCTGCAAGGAAAAAAGCTGCAACCACCCCCTCAAATATCTAATGGTCTGTCCCTAAGTGAACACATATTGATATGGACAATTTGCTGATAATATGGTGACTTGTGATAATATTGGATAATATAGGAAGATCATGAAATGCAAGTATCATATGAGGGCAATATACAACTATCAGACAAAAGTTTTGGTGATGGTGATGGCATAATTGATTGGATGAGTTCATTATAAGTTCCGATGTATTTAGATCTTACAAATTACAATAAATAAACCCTGTTTAGAAATCTAGCATTAATTACTAGTGAAGAAATTTGAATTTAACTCATTGAGCCACAATGCGCCCTACAGTACCTTTTTTTACGTGTCTAACGCCAGACAATTTTACTCGTCAGTGGAGGAAGCTCTGCAGCTTAATGGGTTAAAGTTTTTATGAAATCTGCAATGCCAACAATTCAAGAAAAGCTAATAACTTGTAAAATGTAAACCAGACACCAGAATATATTTGTAACAAGAAACCCATGTAATGAAATCTCAGTGAATTACATATTAGTGAAATTTTGAAAAACATAAAAGTGACTGTATATATGTTTATTATTAAAGCAAAACATCTATTAATTAAATTGTGACTCAATAATATTGTTGGCTGCACCATTGCTACCAACCCGCATTGCTTTTAAATCGAGTGATTGTAGTCCGTTCTTGGCATTATAAGAAAGATACTGCATCTCTTTTATTTTGAACATTCTTCTATTCTAATTATTAATTTTGTATCACAGTGAATGTTTGTGATGAGTGTTCATGACAATGTGAACACCAGCTGTATTCGACAGGCTGAAAAGGCTAGCCACATGTACGCAGTGCGTACCTATTTTTTAATTCCATAACGTGCAAATCAACTTCGTTTCCAGGGCCTTTTTTGCAAATAACAATAATGCAATAATTTGCCAATTACTGTATTCCCAAGAGAAGTTGCCATGCACTCGTGTTTTTTAACATTTCTTTTGAGTTTTGAAGATAATAATATAAAATAATTATGTAAGAATACCTCTCTATAGCTCCTTCGCAGAGGCTTCTGTTGGCTATGACTTATTATACGATTATAGTATTGAAATACATTTCACTCCACTTTACATGGCGGATAGCCAAGTAAAGTAGGAGAGAGTAAGAATACTCACACCGAATACATATTTTTCAGTGGGATTCCACATCAAAAATACAACTCACTTACACTATTTAAGGCCCACACAGACCGAACGCAATTCGGAAACGCAACGCGAATTTTCAGTTTTCAAAAACAAGTAAAATCGTCAACGGGTAAAAATTTTACAAGATATGCAGACCAAATAGCTAAAATTGGTCAAGGGGTTCCGAATATTTGAAAAACACTGAAAAATATTATTGAATTGTCATTGAAAACTGAAAATTCGCGTTGCGTTGCCGCGTCCGGTCTGTATGGGCCTTTAAGGTCAAGACACGGACGCGATTCGACAACGCGACGCGATTTTTCGATTTTCACTGACTGCCGATAACTTTGATTCTAATTTAAATTTTCCAAATATTTGGAAGCGTCATACTATTTTGAGTTATTTGCTCTCATTGGGTATTCTATTAACTTTCAAAAACTAAAAAATCGCGTCGCGTTGTCGAATCGCGTCCAGTGTGTCTAGAACGGCTTGAAACAATATAAAGCCCATGTTCCACTGGGCAAATATATTCGCGAGAAGCGAAAAACAAATCTTTGCAATGTGATTGGCCAGCGAAAAAATTCGCTGCGAAAAAGTCGGATCATGCAGTTCCTACTTTTTAGTGTTTGCGCGAACAAAATTTGCCCAGTGGAAAATGGGCTTAAAAATAAACAAATATGCATGCATGCATGCATGCACCGTACAACATGTCCAAAATGATAAAAACGAACGATTATTTCATAAATTGTTGAAATACTACTTTAGTCAATAAGTGTGAAACATGCATGCCTTAATAAACAGTTCGGAAAGAGTCAATCGTAATTCAATAATTGAATGAAAGATTTGACGAGTTTAAAAGTTGTTTCAAGCCCATTCACCAAATATCAGCCTTTTCCCAATAAGGAAATGTTTAACATAGTTTTTTCCAGAGGCGTCGGAGAATCGATAATTGGGGGGGGGGGGCAGATATTCATATATTCGTGTTCTGCCCAATTAATTTCTTTTGAAATCGATTGTTTTTACAGTCTGTGAA